GGACATAGCGTCAGGAGGGACCAGTCGCTGGAGAAGGATATCATGTTTGGGAAGGTGGAGGGTCAGAGAAAAAGAGGAAGACCCCCAGCGAGATGGATTGACATAGTAAGTGGCAGCATCAATCGGCTCAAGTTTGGCCACAATAGTGCGGTTCGCCCAGGATTGGGCAGTGTTTCCTTCTACTGTGCATAATAAGGTCTCTATGAGTCAGTACCGACTTGATCATAGCACCTAACAACAATAATAAAAACATGACTTCAAAGCATTCCTGAAATGAAGGTATCACTATACTTACTTATCTGATATTTGTGATATATTTATGTTTCCTTCCCAAACAGTGAATCCCAAAACAGTGACTGAAGCTTTAAGACTCCTCATCCTTTACTGGTAGGCTTGTTTTTTAATCCCCATCCTATGTTAAAGAACCAACACAAATAAACAAAACAGCAAATGCTGATGTGGCTGACTAACTCTTGGTCATGGATCATCCATTGTTCATTTGCTCTGTGGTCTTCAGCCCTCCTGGGTCCTCGTCTTTGTATACAGGGTTCACGGTGTTAGCAGCACATTTCTTAAGGGCTGCTTGCTTTTCAGACATCATCAGTGAACACATAACACAAACACATGTTTTATGCTTCCTAGATTGTACTTACCTAATTCTTGATAATTCTGAGTGACTAGTGGGTAAGCAGTACAGAGAGGTATAATTGCAAATCAGAAAAGATACCTGAAAGTTCATTTTCAGACAGTTTTCACCAAATGTTGTTGTTAAGTGACATTGAGTTGATTCTAACTCATAGTGACCCTGTATAGGTTTTCAAGGCATGACTGGTGGATTTGAACCACCATCCTTGAGTTTAGCAGTCCAGTGCTTATCCTACGAAACGGCTTGAATTGATTCTTTTTCTTTTACTCATATCCTTTCTGTGTCAGCCCCTCCAGGCAAACCAGCTCAGGGAAAGGCTGGATGCAAGAGGTGACTGAATCTCCCAGGACACTTAACATCATAGTCCTGATGTTTTCGTATTTCCTCTGGCCTCCAATTGCACAGGATAGCTCAGCAACTTCTTGCCTTTAAATATTTAACCCTCAAAACATTCCTTTGGGTTTCTCAATTTTCTTTCTACTAAACAAATGATTCTAATTGCTTGTAACTCTGTAGGAATTTGTGTTCTTTTGTATTGTTGGCTTTCCTGGTGTTTATGGGGAAGTTGTTTTCTATCTTTGCTATTGAGGGTACAAATTGTGGAGTCATTGAATACCTGCCTTTTTTCCCCCAAAGATGTCTGTCTTGTTTAGACTCCTGGTGTAGTGCTATAGGACCAACTCTGGACTTAGAAATACAAGCCGACAGTTCAAATCCACCAGGCTCTCCTTAGAAACCTAGACAGGGTCACTATGATTTGGAACTGACTTGATGGCACTTAACAAAAACAATCTTATTTGGAAAGAGCCCTGGTGTTGTGGTTGGTTACATACATGTTTACTGCTACTTGCTACATTGACAGTTCAAACCCACTAGTGACTCTTCAGGAGAAAAATGAGACTGTCTCTTGCACTAGAGCTTTACAGAAACTTCTATATAGCATTGTAATGACAGTGTATTTAGTTTGATTTTTAATCTTGCCTGGTGTCTAACTTCTGTGAATTACACACTTATCATGCCTGACCAAATCAGGTATGGTAATGGCATACTCACTAACCACCCTCCTGCTAGAGAAGTGGTCACTTGGTTGTGGGGATGTTAGAGAAGCAAATCTTAATTTTTATCCCAAAAGAATATGCCTGAAAAAAAAAAAAAAAGGATATGCCTGGGTTCTTCCCTTCTTCAATTCCCAATCCATGTTATATAGGTAGTTACTTAAAAATATGTTTCTCCTTTAAAATCCTACTGAAAAGAAGGGGAAATTACAATTTAACTTTTCTCCCCAAATCCTAAAAGCTCAGAAAACAAAACAGAAAGTAATCCTATTCAATATTTTCTTCTTTAAGACCATTAGGTTTTTTGTGGGTCAACCTTTCAAGTACTAGCTGTTGTTTTCAGGTGGTCCTTCTGGGATACAGTTTGCAGACCTATTCTGAAATTGAAGGCTGGAGCCTGAATTTTAAATTACAACTGTGCTTTCTTTTTCACTTGATTACAGACTTCTCTTGGAGTCAAGAAGCCAACCAAAGCCTTGCTCTTTGTAATCTTGAGTCCGGTGGGACCTTATTTTTCAAGTGGAACCTTTAATCCAGTGTCCCTGTGGGCCAATCCAAAGTTTGTAAGAGCCTGGAAAGGTGGAACTGGAGACTGCAAAATGGGAGGGTAAGAGAAGATCTTTGTCTCTGTCAAAAGAGAGTCCTTCCCAATCATTTAGTTTAGTCATTTCATTCCAATGAGGGTGTACACAGTCAAGAACAAATACATATATGTGTTTTATGCTTAGCTTACAGCATTTGAATGTACTAGTTGCATAAAGAATAACCTGTGGTTCTTCATAAGGAACAAATGTTGGATATGAAATGTGGATAAGAGCTAAAATAAGTAACGAAAGCAGGAATAAAATTAGTACTTTGAATTCCTTGCCCCTGGATGCTGGTCCTCTTTGGCTGCAGTTGATGGTTGGCGTAAAACAGCATCTGGGGTTGTGGCCACAGCTCTCAGTTGGCTCAAAGGAATCATGTCTGGGGAAGGTGCCTGCTCATTGAAGTGCTGTCTTCATTGCCACAGATTGGAGTCCCACCTGCTGCCAACTGGCTGAGGGACAGCCCTGTGTTGGCTCTATCAGACCAGTCTCATCGCCCATATGTAACTGGCTGAAAATAAAAGAGCATTTGAGAAGTGTTGGACAATTTCAGGGGTGGACTTGGCTGTGAATTGGCAATCCCTCTCTGGGTGAACAAGAATAGCTGGATTAACCAGCATGGGCTCTTCGTTTTATGTATTAAGCATCGATGTGTATCTCATAACAGAGAAGCAGTAGTTCTGGAAGGTGACTCAGTGACAGTCTTCCAGGCCTTCATACAAACAACATGTAGATTTGTGGAACTTTGGGAGAGGCAATTGATGTGCTGCTGGGATGTCAAAGACTTTGACCCCTCTATTAAGTTGTTAGTGTCATTGAGTCTATTCCAACCCATAGCAACCCTGTGAGCTTGAACCACCAACCTTGCAGTTCAAACGGCTTTGCAGTCTGGCGCATTAACCCACAACACCACACCAGGACTCCTCTATAGTCTTCTTGAATTTCCTTTTTCTTTTCTCCAAAAAATTATATAAAATTCTCTGTCCTGTCATTCTTGTTGACAACTTCTGCTACTGCATTCACTTAATGGGTAGAAACATCGTAATGGAATTTTTTTGGAGAAATCATAAATTCTTATTAAGTTCTAAAAAGCCACTTTCTTTTCCTTCTCATTCTTAGTACTACATTATGTGTTAGGCTAGCCAGGTTGAAAACCGCTTTTGATATCATCCTGCTTTTATTTCACAGAACATATATCTATGTGCTACAAGCTCTGGTAGCGTAGTGGTTATGAGTTGGGCTACTAATCTCATGGTCAGCAGTTCGAAACTACCAGCAATTCCATGGGAGAAAGATGAGGCTTTCTGTTCCTGTAAAGATTTACAGCCTCGGAAACCCTATACAGGGTCACTATGAGTCGGAACCGACTCCACGACACACCACCACCAACCACCACCACCATGTCTAAGCACCACTGCATACCATGTATACTACTTTGTTAAAATTTCACATACAGTGCCCATTATAATAAACTACAATCTTGACAAAGAGGTAACAATAATGAAAAATAAAATGATGAAAAAAAAATTTTTTTTTAAATGGTGGTGTTGTAGGGTAAGACTGGGCTGTTAATTTCAAAGTTACCTGGTGTGCAGACAGACTGTTCTTTATGATAAAGATTTAGATGACATAATACAGTGTTATAGAATACATGGTCCTGACAGAGAAGACTTACAGCCTCAAGAACCCTATGTAGAGTTCTTAGGGGTTGGAATCTGCTCAGTGGCAGTGGGTTTGGATTTTGGTTTATAAGTAAATTTAAAAGGATCACTGGTGGTGCAATGGAGTAAGCATTGGGCTGCTAACTGAAAGGTCAGGGTTTCAACCCACCAGCTGCTCCAAGGACAAAAGATGAAACAGAATGTTGTTCTGTTAGGGGCTGTCAGGTTGGTTCTAACTCATAGTGACCTTTCGCATAACAGACTGAAACACTGCTTGGGCCTGAACCATCTTTACAATCATTTTGGTCTACAGACCTATTAAAACTTAGTAATTTGACTCATTAGGTTTAGGTGAAGCTGACTGGGAATGTCTCAGGAGATCAAGAGGTTAGAGCAGATACATTGTATCTCATAAATAAAAGCAAAAATAGCAAGAGGGAAGACAGTAGCCAAAAGGATGGCCATTGGGCCATTTTACTGCCATATCCAAGAAGTTTAAAATGTTCTGTTATGCTTTGAACCTGAAGAAGTGCAGGGAGGAAACGTGAATTTGCATTTAATATCATTCTATTGGGTTGGCAAAGATAGTTGGAAAGCAACCTTAGACAATATAAGTAATTATTTCAACAATGACCTCCCAAACATTTTTTAGGATCCCTGAGGTATTGAAGAACTATTGATTCTCTTAACTTTGAGAACTTTCTTCTTTCCACACAAGTGCCTTAGACACTAATGACTTAAGACCAGAGAGGTATGGGCTGACATAAAAAATATCATACAGGAAGAAAGTAAATGGTCACTAAGAAGACAAGAAAGAAGAAAAAGATCAAAATGCATTTGAGAAAAGACTATGAAACTTAATCTCCAGCATAGAGATAATTAAAGAAAATGGAAGAAATGAGGAAGTCAAAGAGCTGAACAGAAAATTTCAAAGGGCAGTTTGACAAGACAAATAAGTATAATAATGACATGTGCATAGAACTGGAGTTAGAAAACCAAAAAGGAAGAACACATTCAGCATTCCTCAAGAGGAAAGACTGAAGGAAAAATTCAATAATCAACTTGAAATAGTCAAAAGAAGATGGAAATGCAGAGAATTCCTGTGCCAAAAAGGCATGACTGATACTCAGCCATTTCAAGAGATTGCATTTGATCCAGAATCATTGGTACTAAAGGAAGGAATCCAAGGTGTACTGAAAGCATTGGTAAAGAACAAGGCTCTGGGAACTGATGGAATACAAATTGAAATCTTTCAACAAACTGAGACGGCACTGGAGGCACTCACTCATCTATGTCAAGAAATTTAGAAGACAGTTATCTGGCCAACCTGCTAGATGAGATCCATATGTGTGCCCATTCTAAAGAGAGGTGACCCAATGGAGTGCAGATACCATTAGACAATATCATTAATACCACATACAAATAAAATTTTGCTAAAGATAATTCAAAAATGGCTGCAACAGTTCATTGACAGGGAAGTGGTTCCAGCCAGATTCAGATGAGGACATGGAATGAATTAATCATGAATCACAGCTTTCAATATGGCTTGTGCTTCAGTGTAAACAAAATAAAAATCCTCACCACTGGATCAATATATAACATCATAATAAATGTAAGAAAGATTGGAGTTGTCAAAGACTTCAATTTGTTTGGATCTCCTGTCAACACTCATGGAAATAGGAGCCAAGAAATCAAATGATGAATTGCATTGGGCAGATCTCTTGCAAAAGATCTTTTTAAAGTGTTAAAAAGCACAGATGTAATTTTGAGGATTAAATTGCCACTGATCCAAGCTGTGTTTTTCAGTGACCTCATTTGCGTGTGAAAATTGGACTATGAATAAGAAAGATTGACAAAGAATTGATGCGTTTCAGTTATGGTGTTAGAGAAGAGTATTAAAAGTACCATGAACTTCTAGAAGAACAAATCTGTGTTGGAAGTAGTACAACCAGAATGCTCCTCAGAAGCCAGAATGGCGAAACGTCGTCTCTCATACTTTGGACATATTGTCAGGAGGGACCAGTCCCTGGAGAAGGATATCATACTAACTAAAGTGGAAGGTCAGTGAAAAAGAGGAAGACACCCAACGAGATGGACTGGCACAGTGGCAGCAGCAATGGGCTGAAGCTTAACAGTGATTATGAGCGTGGCCCAAGACCAGACAGATTCATTCCATTGTCATTATGAGTCAGAATCAACTTGATGCCACCTAACAACAACAAGGAGTGATTGGTGGGTTTGAACTACTCACCTTGCAGTTAGCAGTCTACTGCTTATCCTACAGCACCACACTAAGACTCCAATGTAATCATATAGTGCTTTTTATTCTCAGCTTTCAGTTAATATTCTTTCCATTGCAAATCAGAAAACTAACTCAAACCATCTTAAGCATTAGAGGAAGCGATTGGCTCATTTAAGTAGAATAGTAGCAGTGGACCTGCTAGAGGCTCAACACATTAATGCCAATTCTGTAGTGCCCTACAGGTAGACAAACACTGTTTAATTCCCTCCCTCTCTCCTATCCTCTCCCTTCCATCCCTCCATCGATTGTTGTAGCTTCTGGCTCTGTGTTGAGTGATTGTGGACATAGTATGCATATACACAGGAAACAGCAAACTTCCATTATACCAAATAAGCTATTCCAGAAGAAGGAAAAAAAATCTTTCAGATTCTTATATTAAAATGAGTGACTGAATGAACTCTAAGAAGAATGTATATGAACAGCTTAGTTCACATGCCACACCTTAATATAATTATGGCCAGGGGCAAGATGCTATGATTGTCAACTGAAGAAGATTGACTTGGCTCCAAAGGAAGGGTCATGATGTTATAAAAAGGGAATCTAGTGGGAAAGGAAACTGTATAGATGAAAATGCAGATATTCACTGTAATATATGCCTCTCTTGCTTAATTCACTTTCATTAGAAAGCACTTAAACATTTCAATCTTGCCTATCCTGTAGAGTCAATTCTGACTCATAGTGACCCTATTGTTGTTGTTGTGAAGTGCCATTGAATCGGTTCCAGTCCATAGCGACCCTGTACAGGGTTTCCAAGGAGCAGCTGGTGAGCTTGAACTGCCAACCTTGCAGTTCAAACAGCTTTGCAGTCTGGCGCATTAACCCACAGTGCCACACCAGGACTCCTACAGGATAGAGTAAGTCCGCCCCACGGGGTTTCCAATGTAAATCTTTAAGGAGCATACTGCTGCATCTTTTTCTTACTGAACAGCTAGTGGGTTTGAATGGACCATCTTTTACTTAGCAGCTAAGCACTTAACCACTTCACCCCCAAGCATCCATTTTAGTCTTACCCAAATGTTAAAGAGATAATTTAAATGAGCTAAAGATTATTTTTTTACAAGGTTGCATGAATGCTTTGTAGTAGTTGTTGTTATTAAATGCTGTTGAGTTGATTCTGACCCATAGCAACCCTATATAGGGTTTCCCAGGAGCAGCTGGTGAGCTTGAACCACTGACATTGCAGCTCAAACGACTTTGCAGTCTGACACATTAGTGTCACAGTGCCACAAGTAGTAGCTGTTTATTTCTTTCTCTGTACTACTGGGATCTGTGTTGTCCAAGGGTGGCTCTATGGCTTATTTCCTAGTCCTGACTTTCTTAAGGCAATACTTCTCCTATTTATTCATAAATGTTTTCTACAAATAAGGGAGAGTGAATTACGTGATCGGGGCTTAGGGAAGCAATCAAGTGTCATAATTCTTTGAGGACTGTTCTGTTTTAAAAATTCATCCATATTTTGTAATGCATCTCACCATTTTCTCATTTAAGTTAAATAAAAGATAATAAAGTCATTACTAAACTGACATTCTAGGAAGATGTGTCATGTTCCTTTGATTTTTAAAAAAAAAACAATTTGATGTGAACGCTGCAAGTTGGGAAAAGTGAACTTTTGGAATATGTTCAGAACAAAATCAAGTTTTTTGTCCCACCACTTAGGAAATGTAGACTGTGAATATATTAACAGGTCTCAGTTAAGAAAAGGACCTTTGGTAGCGTAGTGGTCATGAGTCAGGCAGCTAACTTCAAGGTCAGCAGTTTGAAACTACCAGCTATCTGCAACAGAAAGATGAGGCTTTCTGCTCCCGTAAAGATTTACAGCCTCGGAAGCCGCATGCAGGGTGGCTGTGAGTCAGAACCAACTACATGGCACAGTAACCACCACCACTACCAGTTAAGGAGGCAAAGACTTGGTGAATTACTACTTACTTGCTCTGTGATTTGATATAAATTGCTTGTCTAAGTGTCATCCAAGTCTTATTTTCTCATATAAACAGTGAAGATAATAGTGACTAATAATATAGTTCATGAAATAGTTCATGTAAAATTGCTTGCCATGAATTCAAAACACTCATAACTCAACTGTTAGCATTACATTGCCTGTGTTCTTATATCTCTACTTTTCAAGTTAGGATTTTTAGGATTCCAAGTTTCTACTTTCCTTCTCTTAGATGAGTACAATTAGATAAATCTTTTGACGTCTGTAATGAGGTTTTTTGTTTTCTTTTAAATGTTACACAGAAAGGATATATATTAAGATCATAACATGTTGACTACATCCACATATGAATTAAAGACTTGAGGTTTTAGTGTATAGAAGCAAGGAAGTTGGCAGATGGGAGGGAAAGAGAATGATATATATGCATAATCATTATGTTTCCTCTTTTTCAAAAGGAATTATGGCTCATCTATTTTTGCCCAATGTGAAGCAATGGATCGTGGGTGCCAGCAGGTTCTGTGGCTCTATGGAGAAGATAATCAGATAACCGAAGTTGGAACTATGAATCTTTTTCTTTACTGGATAAATGAAGATGGAGGTAATCCACACAGGTTTTAGCTCTTTGCTATTTTTCATGGGACTGGGGAAAAAAGAACTAGAACTTTAGAATAAGGGAGTTACATAATCCCCAAAGCTAAGAACCAGAGTGGTAGGTATGAACGAAGTTTACCAAAGTTATAAAGGTTTTCCGTAGCTTTTGGACTCTGTTCTTGTTAGGTGCCTTTGAGCTGAGTGACAGTGTAGACATGCTCCATAGGGTGTCCTAGGCTGCAGTGTTTACAGAAGCAGATTGCTTAGCTGTGGTTTTTCTCCTGTGGAGCCACTGGGTGGGTTTAAACTTCCAGCCTTTTGGTTTAGTAGCCACCAGGGTTCTTGTTTTTGGCTCTAGAGATATTTGTTGAGAACAACTTAAGAGATTTAAGTCAGTACTTTCTTGAAGATCTTGTGTTATAGACTTAGAAGCTATATAATTTCCCATGATTTGAGGATTTGCTGCTTTATCGCCTCTGTCACCATCTTAACATTTCTCTCATCAGAACTCTCTTACATTTGGAGGTTTCAATTACATTTACTGTGTGTAAAATAGGTCTCTGGGTAGTGCAAATAAGTTGCACTTGATTACGATTCTGAAGGTTGACAGTACAAATCCACCCAGTGATCCTATGAAAAGCTGGCAATTAGCTTTCCTAAAGATTAACACCAAGAAAACCTGATAAAGCAGTTCTACTCTGTAACACTTGGTGGTGGTGGGGGGCTTGATGACAATTGGGTTTTTGGGGTTGTTTTTCTTGTTATATGTACATGATCTATTGATTCTGTTGTTGTTGTTAAGTGCAATTGAGTTGGTTCTGACTCATAGTGACCCTGAATAGGGTTTCCTAGGAGTCTCTGGTGTGTTTGAACCACCAACCTTGTGGTTCACAGTCCAGTGCCGATCCTACAGCACCACACTAGGAGTCTCGTATGGAATTTAATGTGTACTCCTGCTTTTAGCAAATGTGGCCATTCTTTTAGCAAATGTGGCCATTTCTATATATTTTTATAGTCTATCGAAAGCCTCCAGATTTACTTGGGAGCTCAATTTGATTAAAGTACATTTTTTTTTTTTTTTTAAGGGTAGGTCAGTTGTCTTTTGAGATTGTATACCTAGATTCTCATTCATGCAATGACTTTAATAAATAAGTCTACTGTAAAAATAAGCACTTCTCTACTGCTTATAATATCTAGAATGTTCATGCCCTCTTTACTACTTTTGTTTTGTGAGATAAGTTCCCCAAAACATATGAAGTCTCAGTATGGGTTTGAATTAAATCTTGAAATGATTTCTTTTTACTTTTCAACAGTTATAGTAGCTTCTATTGCTCTTGTGTTATTTGGCTACAAAAAGAGGAAAACAGTGATTCAGAATCAGAGCTATGCACTAATTTGAGGGTTAATTATAGAGATGACCAGCAAGATGAATCTTATATTCCAGTTAGTGGTAGGAGGGCCAGAAGGTGTGGCTAGTACACCTTGTTCTGAGGTCAGCCATTGGTGATCTTGGCCTATGTAAAGTCAGATTACAGACCATGCTCACTGTATTTAACATTGTTTAATAACAAATTTTGTACTGGAATATTTGTGATTTCTAAATTTGAGTTTTCTGTGAGTTAAAATTGATTCAACAACAACTGGCTAAATTTGAGTTCTTGTATTATTTTTTATTTTTCACAAAGTTTTTGAAGCTCTCTCATGTATCAAGATCTTTGCTTGAAAGCTAGCAGCCAGTGTTGAACTCTGTAGATAGAAGATAATGGATTGGTTCAATTCTTCTTACCCTCTCACTGGGGTGGGTGGGAAGCACAACCCAAAGTGAAAACAGTTGCAACATACCTTATTTATGAATGGGAGATGTCAAGGTTTAAGCATAGTCAGAATCAGAGCTACATGACTTAACTCTAGAAGCATCATAAATTGCCCGGATGAAAAATGACTCTTTATCCAAACAATGACTGTGTGTTCTTCCACCATGACTTTTAAAGGTTGAAACAGAAATCCTTGATTTTTTTTCAATTCTTTTCGAAGTATACAAGACCTTAAGAGTTACCATTCAGATTATGGTCACCTGAGATAACTTGAGCCATGATTTTAATGTTCTATTTCAACTTGGAGTGTTCTATGAACAGACCAAGTAAAATTTTAAATTAGGAGAAATGATATATGTTTACATAATATTCTGAGAGAAGTGAATAGAATATTGAAAGTAACCTTTGGGCTAAAATAAAAAGATGGAAATTACTCTTAAGTTTGATTTATATCATTTACCTTTAGGAAAATACAAGGATAATGAGTTGAAAGTCAGCCTTGCATTGCCTTTTAAGACATTTTACCAACAGGAGGTAAAATGTAACATATTACCATCTTTTCCTAAATAGCCACATTGTTGTTTTTGGACAAGAAAGGTAGATAATCCATGTTTAAAGTACAGTGTTGTACACAATAACTATATGTGGTACTTGGACTTATAACTCATGTGGGTTTTGATTCTATAACAGTTAACTGGTGGGAAGACCACACAGCCTCCATTCTGTTTGATCCTTTTGATGAATAGTTTGACACATGCATTTGTTATTCACTATTGGAACCAACAATTCAATGGTGTCCTGGACACTGGGGATACCCTGAAGAATAAGACCCAGTCCTTGTGGTGGAATGATCACAATTGATTAAAAAGATCATGGTTTTGAGTGCTGAGCCTTCTCAGGTGCATCAGCATTCTACCTGGCTCTGCTTAGCGCCCTCTTTCCTCAGATGTCTGTTTATCTTATTCTCTTGCCTCTTTCAAGTCTTTGCTCACATATCCCATTTTCAGTAAATCCTTCCTTGATCACCCAATTAAAAATGGTAAATATTATTGGCTACCCAAAATGAGGGAACTACAAAGGCAAGAAGTGACTGGCTTACAAGCTTTCAATAGGGAACCGAGCTCCAGAGGATACAGGGAAAGGTAGAATCTCCACTGAATTGTTTCCAACCTGTCTGGATGGGATTGATAAAAGGTGAGGGGGAAAGGACTCCTGTAGTTCAGTAGGGAATGATTGCTATCAGGTCTGACAGTGAGTGTTGGAAAGGTAAATGTAAATGTTTGGTAACAAAAGGAGGGGAATGGCTGATTTTGCAGTCCAGGATCGGAGATCCCTGGAACCATCAAGGGAGAAAAGAGAAGTGCGAGAGACCCTGACCAGGGAGGCAGTGACACTAGGGATGGAGGCAGAGATGATGACATGGACAGAAGGAACCGCTGGGGACTCTGGACTTTGGGAGGGAGAGGGGCTGTGTGCTGGCGGCTAGGGGGCAGGCATGTGGGGTGTACCCTTTGGTTGTTTGATGATTCATGCAGGGATTGTGATCATTGCAATGAAACAAAATATGATAGGATGAATGTAAAGATAAAGTTCACTCATGTAAACTAACACATAATTTACAATAAAAACAAAAAAAAAAAAGGTAAATTTTCTCTTCCCCCAGCACTTTCCATCCTCTCCCTGTGTTGTTGTTTTCCTCCATAGTTGACAAACATAAGAGTCTCTGAGTGAGCAAATGGGTAAGTGCTCTACTATTAAATGTAAGGTTGGCAGATCAAACCCACCAAGAGGTACCTCTTAAGTAAAACATAGAGGTTGCTTTCCAAAGGTCGCAGCTTTGAAACCTTATGGAGCACTTCTACTCTGCACACATGAGGTCACCATGACTTGGAATCAACTTGACAGCAACTAATAGCTGTCTAGTGTCTATTTAATACAATAATTATTTGTCTGTACTCATGTGGCGCTGTAAGATTAGCACTGAACTGTGAATCACAAGGTCGGCAGTTCAAACACACCATCCACTCCTCGGTCACTATGAGTCAGTAATGGCTCAATGATACTTAACAGCAACAACACCTACTAAAAAATAAGCTTGGAATTATAACATTTTTGTTCACTGCTGTATCCAAGGACTTAGAATGAACTGTTCCTGGTAGGTACTCAATATGGATTTGTTGAATAAATGAGTAATTCTATGCTTAGGAAATCCTACATCCCTAGCTACCATTGATTTCTTCATAGTGATTGAGCTTGAGAAGTCAGGTGAGTTCTGATGCTGTTGTTTCTAAAGTCTTCATCTCAAAATGGATTTTCAGTCAAAAACAAACTGCATTTGTAGGTTCTGTTTTCCTTGTGTTGGGCAGTCTGTAGCTAGTTCTGGCTCTTGTAAGCATGTTTGTGGTTACAGAGGAAAAGGAATATTTCTCACCCAAATGTTGTCATGTCATCATCTCTGTCTGGCAACCAGAGAAGCAGATGTTCTGTTCCTTGACCTCAGGCTAGTGGTTACAGTACTGGGTGTTAAATATATTTCACAAAACAGCATTTGTTCATGCCGGGCTGCTGTTTTTATTTAACTTTATGTAGTTTTATTGCTCAGCAAGCTTTAAGAAAGGTCCACTTTGAGGGACTTCAAGTGAGTACGTACATATGCATGCATTCTAACACATGTAGATCCATACATTTAAGTGTCTAGCTAGCTTGCTGTTGAAAAACACACATTTATTTTGAGATCAACACTTCTAAACATGACAAAAAGTAACCCTAAGGATATTGCCAAGAACAAATTTTCTTCTTTCCAGAGAGCAAGTTTTTCAGCAAATGATTTTTAGAAACAAATTAAAAAAAAATAAAAATCATACTGCTGTTTCCCAGCAAAGAGGGTTATTCATTCGTTTTTGTTTTGTTTTTTAATTTAAAATTATTTATTGCATACCATTCTGGGTTAGGCACAGTGCCGGGTTTGGGGGATATAGGGATAAACACAGCTCAGTCTTAGTCTTCCAGACATAGTCTGGTTGTTGGGAACATTTGATGTAGCCACAGTGGAGAAAGCATGCCTAGACTTCTGTGTACTGAGGGAGAAGGCAGTGGTCTTGGATCAGGATGCTAGAGCTCTCGCCCTGGCTTTCTCCCAGTGTCACCAACCTTAGCAAGTCCCTCATATTTGTAGAGCCTCAGTTTCTTCTGTAAAATAAGAACTGCACTTGTTGTTAGTGCTGTTGAGTCGATTCTGACCCATAGCAACCCTGTATAGGGTTTCCAAGGAGTGACTGGTGAGCTTGAACCGCTGACCTTGTGATTCAAGTGACTTTGCAGTACAACGCATTAACCCACAGCCACACCAGGATGCCAGAACTGCACTAGATCATTTAAAGTGTCTTAGTTGCACAAAGTGGGTTGAGATAGTTCAAAGATAAGCAGTGTGATTTCTGTGCAGCTTTTGTTCCCGGTTGATCCTTTCCAACAGTTTCTCTGCAAACGCTTGATGGACAACATATAATCCACTATATGATTAAACATCTTCATAAAGTAGGGATTTAAGCTGTGAATTTCTGACTAGCCTCAATTTCCTGGGTGCCAGAGGTGGAGAGGAGAAGATACTGAGTAGCAGGGACATTATTTTATCAGTACTGTGTGTGCAGTTGACAGATGACTCTGACTCCCGTAGGTGGATCTTCATGCCAACCAACATGGTAGATAGGGGTGGCTGTAGCCATTCTCACAGTCTCTTAACTTTACTTTCTATTAGAGTCTCCTATTGAATGATTTTTGTTTTTGTGCTCACCATACAAGTGCCCACCTTGAGTTTCAGCAGCCACCATCTCCATACTTGATGCTGATACTCAACCAGGATTGAAAACCACTGAAGAGAGACAAATTTCCTGTCACCCCATCTTCGGGTCCTTTTCTTGCTCTATTGGCCAGTGGAAATAAAGTAAATATTGGGGTGCAAGAATAACAGAATTGTATTGTATTGCCTGTACAGACAAGGAGCAACACAAAATTTTATGACCAAAATATCCCTGGATTCCCCAAATGGGGGCATCTGGGATTTTATACCCTTAGATTTCTGGAATTTTGACTTCTTCCTGTCTCTTCTTACCCCATAACCCACCTGTTTCCGTAGATAAAGGTCCAGGTATCAAGTCATGCTCTCCTGAATATAGGTACCACCCCTTGCTGCTAAAGTGTGCCCAATGAGGAGAGTGACTAAGATAATGTTTTCAATGCTGGAGATTCTTGGGCCCAGGTTCAGTTGGAAGACACTGGCATATGTACTACACATGCTTTAGGTTCTGGTTCTAGCTGGAAGGGACCCTGTGGTTACTCTTTGCAAAAGGGTTTTTCAATAGAATGCTGATAATGGACTTCCAGTGTTGCTGGCAAGCTGTGAGAATTAGATAATAGAAGGGTGGCTAGCAGAGCAACATGCCAAGCAGAACCAAAACCAAATCAAACCCACTGCGTCAATTCTGACCCATAGTGGGCCCTGTAGAGGATTTCTGAGGCTGTAAACTTTGTATGAGTAGAAAGCCTCATCTCTCTCCTACAGAGATGCTCATGGGTTTGAACTGTTGATCTTGCAGTTAGCAGTGCTTATCCTGCCAATGCCATGAGTGTCCACTATACCAGGCAGTGAGTAATAGAAAAAGGGATATTGGCATAAAGGTTTCATTAAATCAAGGACTATGTGGGAACAGTAGTCAGCTTGTGTGGATACCCACAGGAAGCCTCTTCCACAGAGTTCTTAACCAGGCTATCTATTGTTGTTTAGTGCTGTGGAGTTGATTCTGATTCACAGCACCCCTGTATAGGCTTTTTAAGGAGAGACTGGTGGTTTGAACAGCTAACCATGTGGTTAATTGTTGTTAAGTGCCATTGAGTTGGTTCTGACTCATAGCAACCCCGAATAAAGTTTCTGAGGAGCAGCTGGTGAATTTGAACTGCCAACCTTGTGGTTTAAACTGACTTTGCAGCCCAGCACATTAACCCACAGCATTACACCAGGACTCTAAGATCCTAGCTACAGTATTCTGATTATTAATCAGCTTTTACCCAGTGTCTTAGTGATTTTGTGGAGTTGTGGTGCAGTGGGTTAACGCACTGGGCTGCAAGGTCTGTTTGAACCACAAGGTCAGTGATTCAAGCTCACTAGCTGCTCCTCGGAAACCCTTCTACAGGGTCGCTATAAGTCCTAATGGACTCCACAGCACTTAACAATCACAGCATAGTGGACATACCATGAATTATTTGCTTTATCTTTATTTTCTCACCGTTTAGTCCTCTAGAAGTCCAAATTTGGGACAATGACTCTTAGAAGAAGTCTTACTCTTTCTGTAGCTCTGGGGAAAGATTTTTGTCTCTTTTCAGCTTCTCCATTTTGGTTCCTTGGAGTTCTCCTGTGGCGTGGCATCTGCCTTCCCCATTTGTACTTGAGTGCTCAATCTGTTCTTTTGTACCATAAAATAGACAATTAAAGACACAGCCTACGCTAATACTACCTCATTCATATAACAAAAGAAACCCATTAGAAAGTTAGACTATGACCACTGGTATGTTGCTGTTGTTAAGTGCTTCAGTGGATTCAGACTTATGTGACCCTGCAGAGGATTTCTGAGGAGCAGCTGGTAAGTTTGAACCTCAGACCTTGCAGTTCAAATCGACCTTGCAGTACAGTGCTTATCCTACATCATCACACCAGGACCTCAACCAAAGGTATAGTGTTTAGGATTTACAACACAAGTTTCTGGGGAACACTCTTCAACTCATAATACCACTAAGGTAAATTTTGAAGAAGATGTTTGTCCTAAGAGTATTCTATAACACTTAATATTTCTTTTTTTTTCTTTTCTTTCTTTCTTTTTTAAACAAGTATTTACCTGACATGTAAATTGATTGGGGGAATTTGATAAGGTAGAACAGTAATACCTTCATGTTTATTACAAGCAAAGTTATTAGAAATGGTTTTCAAAAATTGTTATTCATATAAGATGTGGCTAATATGGTTGAAATTTGAAAATATTCCAACTTCTAATTGACAGAAGAAGAGCTGGCAACTCCTCCGCTAGATGGCATCATTCTTCCAGGAGTGACAAGGCAGAGCATTCTGGACCTGGCACATAAGTGGGTAAGTGCCTTTGACATGAACCATTTTTATGACCGTGAAACCAAAAGTAATAAAAATAAGCCAGCATGGTGTTGACATAATGCCCTGTAGTTCCAAGTGATGGTATCGTCTCTTTAAATCTGTTGAGTGAAAAGAACTCTTCTAGAAGAATTGTCCTGGTAGAAGTATCAAATATGTATTGTCTATTCTGAAGGGCAAAGAGAAACTGGCGTGGAGCTGTAGGATAAGCACTGGACTTCAAGATCAGTGGTTCAAACCTACCAGCTGCTCCTCAGAAACCCTATACAGGACTGTTATGAGTTGGAACCTACTTGATGACACTTAACAAGTCTTAATCTTTATACCAATTGTCTACTATTGTTGTTAAGTGTTTCTGTATACTCCTTCCCTCTTCTTTTGATGCTTTCTGTATCATTCAATATTTTGCCCATGTTGTTGTTGTTGTTGTTGTTGTTAAAGTGCCGTCAAGTCACTTTGGACCCATAGTGACCCTGTATAGGGTTTCCAAGGAGCAGCTGGTGAACTTGAACTGCTAACCTAGCTGTTCAAGCTGGCTTTGCAATCTAGCACATTAACCCGGTAGTGTCACACCAAGACTCCAACTGTCTACTAACTCACTTGTCCTCCTGGTGTGGCACTGTGGGATAATGCACTGGACCACAAGGTCGGTGGTTCAAATTCACCACCCACTCCTCGGAAACCCTTGTACAGGCTCACTATGTGTTGGAACCGACTCAAAGGCACATAACAACAACAGCAGCAACTCACTTGGTTTATACTTCCTGAGCTTCTCTCTAGCCAAACATTAACTTTCTCAAGATTAAGTGCATTGTTTACAAATGGCAATCAACCTAACTTCTTCCCTTATTTCAATGCAACCATGGCATTAATAGAATAAAAGAATGTTACTGACATATAATGTTTCCTAACATAACATTGCTTGTTTGGCTGCCTTCTTTCACCCCAATTCCTTCCAAATTCACATGCACACTTATCTTAAAATCAAAACACTCATGCAAATTTTAAGTTGTTTTCATTAGACCTTCAAATCTATGTGACACCGGCAAGCATATTAAACCATTTGGTATTGGAAGTGACATAGCAGACTCATTATGAATTTTGAATGAGTTGGTTGTCTGGCAGAGGCTCTTGGATGAAACTTTTGACCCATGTGTTAAAATGGTCTCCAAGGAACATGAAAAGACTTTGAGCATACTGTGGTCAAACAGTACTAATAGGACAAATATTTAGCAACACACACATTATCTATCTAGGAGAGCACTAACACAGTTTCTCTGGAAAAGACCTTGAAAATAGAGGAAATGTGCTATAAATAATCCTACAAAACCCTGAAGTAGACAAGACCCAACTGCCACATGCTGGCTGGCACATTGGGCATGACATTTACAAACTGTTGGTATAATTTCAAACAGCTTGCCCTGTCCTAAATATGTTTGCAGTTGGAAAGATATATTTTTGAAGCTCAGTAATTTTTGTTTTATTAAAGAAAAAAATCAACCAAGTACAGAAGGTTTGATGACAAGTTGCAAGTGGAAATTCTTTACCACACTAATGATTTACTAGCATGAAAAATAGGTTCTTATGGAGGAAGTTTTTTTCTTGACTCCTTAGCTATAATTTATTTTAAAAGCTATTTTAAAACAGTGAGACTTAAAATGCCAAGAGGCACATGGGGGGTTACCACCACTTGCCAGACAGGGGAAATTGTCCAACGATAAGTAAGGGTGAGCAAAGCAAAAACAATTCTGTTTATTTACAAGGTTCCACTCCTCCCCCTTTCCACCAAGACTACAAAATTCAGTTTGTTTTCGATTAACTTGGCTGATTTTCTGGACTTTATTTATTTTTAAAGCTTTAAACAAAACAATTGCAATTGCAAACTGAGATAAATGAAAATTTGCAAAGAGCCACATTTCTATAGCAGATATATTTTTGCATCCTTCCAAATCTACTTACAACATTCTGCATTTTTCTACTAATGTTCAAACGCATTCCAAGGTCTGTACTTTCCTCTTTTATCTATTGTGGATTGGTATGCTTCAAAATTATATATTTCATTTTATTAAAAAAAAAATCAATTCAGTCTTTGTTGGTTTTAATTCAAATAGCCTGATGACAAACTTTGAACTTTAATCACCAAAATAGAAGAATGAGATTTAAATAGATAGTTTAAAAGTATCAATCACCCACCCCCCTATATCCTATCATTGAACAAATAAAATGTTTCAATAGTTAAGCAGAAAAGTCAATGAAAATATGACTTTTCCAAGATGAAACTTAACCTAATTTGATGATACAATGGAATAATATTACCATTGTAAAGTAAATTGATTCAGTCAACTTGGGAGGAAAAAAAAAATGCATACAACGCAATTTCTCAAATAAAGCTCAGCTTTTTAAATTTTTACAAATGATAGACTCATTATATGTTTTACGTCCATAAAAGACACAGAAGACAGTGGACCAAATATGGAGCCAGTTAAATCAGTTTTGAGTCCAATCCAGTTTTTTACTGTCTGCTTGACCTTGGGGTCGCTTAGTCACCCAGAACCTTACTTTTCTCAACAGTAGAATGTTGTTGTTAATTGCCATTGAGTTGGTTCCAACCCATAGTGACCCTTTATAGGGTTTCCAGGGAGTGGCCGGTGAATTTGAAACGCCAACCTTGCAGTTCAAATCGACTTTGTGGTGCCACACCAGGACTCCAACAGTAGAATAGGGGTAATAATATCTACTTGAAAGAATTACAGAACTTGGCAAATGACGCATGGTAGTTAAAAGTATTAACATCATGATACATGAGTATATTGTTAAGTGCCATTGAGTCAATTCTGACCCACAGTGACCCTATACAGGGTTTCCAAGGAGTAGCTGGTAGCTTTGAATTGCCAATCGTGTAGTTCACAGTCTGGTGCTTATATCTTACATGACACACCGGAACCCCAGTACATGAGTATAATACAATGTGATTCTCTTTTGTGATAAAATAAGGTTTAAGACATGGTTACTGCAAGTAACACTTGGGGTGCTACAATTTTTGAGACATTATAACAAACAAAAAGATAAAAAAGCTGGAAATTTGTATCAAAATATGTCATGTGCATCTAGTAGTGATTCTGATAATCTCATTTATAATTCTGTGACCTTGGAGTAAGTTGTTTAATACTTCAGTTTGTTCATCAGTAAAATGGTATTGTACTTTCCAGTTCCACCTCTAAAGATGGTTATGACGCTATCTGAATTCAATCAGAAGGTACCAGTTGTCTATTGGAAAAATACTTTAGGTTGTTTTACGAGTCTTTTATTTTTTTACTATTTCAAACAGGGTGAATTTAAGGTGTCTGAGAGACACCTCACCATGGATGGGCTGACCACTGCCATAGAGGAGAAGAGAGTGAGAGAGATGTTTGGCTCTGGTACAGCCTGTGTTGTTTGCCCAGTTTCTGATATACTGTACAAGGGGGAGGTAAGATGGTGTTTTCTCGTTCCCTGTCATTTCCAAAAGTTTAACTGTAGTCAAATTAATTTTTTAAATGTATCATCTAAATTCTAGTCATTGTTGTTAAGTGCCTTTGAGTAGGTTCCAACTCATAGCGATCCTGTATAAAGTTTCCAAGGAGTGACTGGTTTGTTTGAACCGCCAACCTTGTAGTAAGTAGTCCAATGCTAATCCTACAGAACCACACCAGGACTCCAGATTCTAGGTAGACTTGGGATATAACTTGGTATTCCAGCAGGTTGGGCAGTTTGTCCTGGTAAACCTGTGTTAGCAAATCACTTACTACCATCTTTCCAGTGAATTTGTGTAAGCTCAAACATGTTGGGAAGTCAATTTTGTTTTTGGAAAGTATATTTTCTGTATGTTAATGTAGGGATTAGAGCTGTACCAGTAGATTTCATTCTTGTCTCTGTCTACCAGTTCACTAAGGAAGATTCTTCAGGTAATTAGGTTGTGATTTCTACAAGTCCTTTAAGCTACTAGAATAAGGATGGCAAATATGTACAGAAAATACATTTGAATAACTAACTTCATTTACAACAATAATAGTAATAATAACAATAAGTATGTTGCTTACACAAAAAGCCTTGTGTATATACTAAAGTCTTCCAAAAAGAATTCAAGACATGTTGGTGAGGAGGAATTTTGTCCACCCAGTAAATCAGTCTAATTTTATGTTGCATTTCCATTTTCATGTCAAATTTTTTCTGCTTTCCCTTTTATAATGAAGCTCAGATACTCATAATTAGCATTGACATCTAACTTTTTAACTTCAAGGTGTGTGGGTTTTACTCTTAAAATGTGAATTGGCTTAAATTATTCATTTATAGAAACTGTGGTGGTGTGCCTTGGAGTCGGTTCCGACTCATAGCTACCCTGTACAGGGTTTCCAAGGCTGTAACTCTTTATGGGAGCAGAAAGTCTCATCTTTCTCCCATGAAACAGCTGGTAGTTTCGAACTGCTGACCCTGAGGTTAGCAGCCCAATTCATAACCACTATGCTACCAGGGCTCCTTACATAGAAATTGTACTGGTCTTTAAATTCTACATTATAATATTTCTCAGCTCACTGAAGTGATTTTTCTGCTGACTTTAAAGGTAGCTGACTCACTGCTTGTTATTTTTTAACTAGCTTTTAAGGACTGACTCCTGGCATAATTGCATCTATAGAATTATTGTGTCACAGGAGAAGAATTGTTCTGTATCAATACTTTTACTGATTATAAAGCTACTTGTTTATATTTTATTAAGATTGTATCAAAGAAACTTATCATCAATTCACTTTCTTATGAACTAAAGTGCTTATTATTATTTAAAGTCTAGTTGTTCTTTCACCTCTAGAAATAAGAACATTATAAAGTTTACCATTTTTAATGATCTTATTTCTTGGGAAATATATATGGAGTCCTGATGTGGCATTGTGGGTTAACGCGCTAGACTGCAATTTCAGTTTGAACCACAAGGTCAGTGGTTCAAACTGACCAGCTGCTCCTCAGAAGCCATATGCAGGGTCACTATGAGTCAGAACTGAGTTGACAGAACCTAACAAAAACTAAAAAATGAAGCTAACAAAACTGTACATACCAGCAAAGCATGAATGGGCATGACTCAAATATAAAAATGAAGGAAGGAAATTTCTCTCCACCATGAATTTAATCGTGCTATCTAATATATTGTGGTGCAGTGGTTAAAGTATTTGATTGTAAACCAAAAGGTGGGTGGTCCAAATCCACCAGTCACTCTGTGGGAGAAAGATGCAGCAATTTTTTTCCCGTATAGATTTATAGCCTTGAAAATCCTATGAGTCAGTTCTACTCTGTCCTAGAGCGTCTAAGAGATGGAATTGGCTTGATGGCAATGGTTTTTGGGGTTTTATTTTATATAGTGTGTGGAAGTAATGATGCTTGGAGCTTTTACTTAGAACACAGAGAGATTTTAAAAGCCATTTTTGTCAAAGTATAGATTTAAATTTTGATCCAAAAAATAACTTGTAATTTGAGCAAATATATTTTTGAGATCTCATTTTCTGCCAAAAGGTGTGGCGGTTGACGCTTTATCCTTGTAGATTATTAGAATCCTAATAAATTTACCTAAGAGGTAGAGTTCTTTATGTTTGGCCTCTGTCTTAGTTATCCTTAGCTTCTTATTGGTTCCTCAAATCAGACTAGTCTGTAAATCAGTTGTCCCCTCATATCAGTGGACAATTGGTTTATATCAATTTTAAGGGAATGAATAGCCTTAAATGGAAACAGTGAGAAATGGGGGCACTAAAATGGTTTTGACTTAGCCTAAAGTAAAAGAAAACTCCAATAGCCAACTTTAAACAGTGGCTATAGTTAAACTTTAATTCCCTCCCTAGCAACATTCCATAATTAATCACTCCTTTTGAATCTTCAAAGCAGACCTTGTGGCCCAAATGAGGGAGGTGACTCTCCTCCTAAGAACGAAGGCAATATCAGCTAACAGGAATGGCTGAAACAGTCCAGGCCATAACCACCCTAATTCCTGATGCTATCACTTCAACTACTGGAGTAGAAAAACAATAAGCAATACAACAATCCTAACCACATGCTCAGTGATCTTGATTTTCTTCACCCTTAAAAGACACAGGATGCCCTCCAGTGGAGGAGGCAGATCTGGGAGATTCCTGCTCCACACTTAGCTCTCTTCTCTGAACCCTGTCTGTGTTAGCAGTAAGTCATTAAAAACAACAACAACAACAAAAAACTTTTTGTGGTTACAAGCTTATTATTGGCTAGCTAGTTTTTATTCAAATTCAAAATAGTGAAGAGTCTTTGATATAAGCAGCTAACATGAATAATCAGCAAGTTTTTATAGTGTATTCCTTATTTCATGCTTGGTAAAATGGGGGGTTGGAAAAAAAGAGGCAGACCACAAATGAGATGGATTGGCATGGCAATGGGCTCATAAGTAGCAATGATTTTGAGTTTGGCACAGGACCAGGCAGTGTTTCATTCTGTTGTGCATAGGGTAGCCATGAGTTGGTGATGATTCAATGATACCTAACAACAGCCATTCCTATTTCAATGATGTTGTCTCAATACAGTAGAATTGCCAAATATCTTTTTTTCACTGTATATAAGAATAGTCTCAACTTATTCCATGTCTCTTTTTTTTTTTTTTCATAGACCATACACATTCCAACTATGGAGAATGGTCCTAAGCTTGCAAGCCGTATTTTGGACAAGTTGAGTAGTATCCAAGTAAGACTTCCTTTCTTTAAGACGTATCTATTTTGAATCAAAGTTTAGAACCAACTGTATTTCGAGAAAAAAGAGCAGATATCCAAATTTGGGATTGATAAATTAAATTTAAGAAAGATTTTCCTGATCATTTGTATGGGTATGAGCAAAGTAGAAAAAAGAAATTGAGGTACATGTTCAACAAAATGAAAAAAAAAATACTGTTACTTCTCTAAGCTACTTAAAGAAATATATATATAATTTAATATTTTTGAAATATCACACAAAATTTATAACATACTTGGGTTAAAAACTTGAAATTAGTAGAAAACACACAAAAAAATTAGCTTTTATCCTAATATTGAAATATGTTGTTGTTATTAATATTGAAATATAACCTTTGTTAATTTTTTATATCTCAACTTCTAATATTTTGTAAACAGTTATGTACTTTCTGGGGTTTTTTTCTAGCAAAACAGTATCATATTATGCATAGTTTTGTTGCCTACTGCTTGCACTTACTAAGTCATTTGATTTTTCATGTCAAAACATGTGGGATGTAATAAAGACTGTGCTGTGTGGAAAACTTGTAGCCATGAAGATGATATGACAGAATATTACTCAGTCATAAGAAGAAATGATGTTCTGATAGATGCTACAATGTGGGTGAATCTTAAACATACGTTGAGTGAAATAAGTCAGATACAAAAGGACAAATTGTGATACTGTGGGCTAATGAGTGAGACTGCAAAGTCATTTGAATTGCAAGGTCGGTGGTTCAAGCTCACCAGCTGCTCCTTGAAAACCCTATACAGGGTCACTATGGGTCGGAATCATCTTGACGGCACTTAACAACAACAAACTATATGAACCATCTAAAATAGGCAAGTGTATAGAGACAACGGAGTCCTGGTCTGTTGCATTAACTCACAATGCCACACCAGGACTCCAACCTTGAACATATTCCACCTGAATTTAGAAATCATCTCAAAAACAGATTTAATGCATTAAACACTAATGACTGAAGACCAGAAGGGCAGTGGGATGGCATCAAGAACATACAGGATGAAAGCAAAATGTCATTAAAGAGACAGGAAATAAGAAAAGACCAAAACCAATGTCAGAAGAGATGTCGAAACTTGCCTGTGCATGAAAGTTTTAAAATATTAGATATATAAGAGGAAGAAATAATAATAATAAAAAAAAAACCCAAAACTTTATTCTCTTACCTTTATGGTAAGAGCTTGAGAAGACAAAGCAAAAAAATATAATGAAATATGCACGGATCTAGAATTAGAAGACCAAAAGGGAAGAATATGCGCAGCATTTCTCAAGCTGAAAGAATTAAAGGAAAATTCAAGTCTCAAGTTGTAGTATTAAAGGATTCTGTGGGCAAAATATTGAGCAATACAGGAAGCATCAAAAGAAGATGGAAGGAAAACACAGTCACTGTATCAAAAAGAAATGATCGATGTTCAGGCACTTCAAGAGGTAGCATATAGTTAAGAAGCAGTGCTACTGAAGAAAGACGTTCAAGTTACACTAAAGGCACTGGCAAAAAACAAGGCTCCAGGAATTGATAGAATGGAGATGTTTCAATAAATGGATGTGCGGCTGGAAGTGCTCACTCATCATGCCAAGAAACTTGCAAGACAGCTACCTGGCCAACTGATTGGAAAAGATCCATGTGTGTTCCAATTCCAAAGAGAGGTGACCTAACAGAATGTGGAAATAATTTAACAATAAAACACTGACCTCAAGTTCAGTTAGAACCACAAGGAAGGCAGTTCAAACTCACCAGCTGCTCCTTGGAAACCCTAAATAGGGTTGCTATGAGTTGGAACAAACTTGACAGCACTTAATAACAACTGTTAATATCACACACAAGTAAAATTTTGTTGAAGATAAGTCAAAAAATAGTTGCAGTAGTACATTCACAGGAAGCTGTGAAAAATTCAAACCAGATTTAGAGAGGACATGGAATAAGGGATATCATTGCTGATGTCAGATGGATCTTAGCTGAAAGTGAATACCAAAAAGAAGTTTACTTGCATTTTATTGACTATGTAAAGGCATTTGAATGTGTGGGTCATAACAAATAATGTATAACAATGTGAAGACTGGAAATGAACTTAATTGTGCTCAGGGGTAACCAGAACATAGACCAAGAGGTAGTTGTTTGAATAGAGTAAGGGGGATACTGCATGGTATAAAGCCAGGAAAAGTTTGCATCAGAGTTGTATCTTTTCACCATACATATTCAATCTGTATGCTGAACAAATAATCCAAGAAACTGGTTTATGTGAAAAAGAATGTGGCATCAGGATTGGAGGAAGACTCACTAACAAACTGCAGTATGCAGATGATACAACCTTACTTGCTGGAATTGAAGAGGACTTGAAGCACTTACTGATGAAGATCAAAGACCAGAGCCTTAAATGTGGGTTACATCTTACTGTAAAGAAAACAAAAATTCTCACAACTGGACCAATATCATGATAAATGGAGACAAGATCTATATTGTCAAGGATTTCATTTTACTTGGATCAACAATGAATGCTCATGAAAGCAGCAGTTAAGAAATCAAATTATTTATCATGTTGGGCAAATTTGTTGCAAAAGATCTCTGTAAAGGGTTAAAGAGTAAATATTGCCACATTGAGGACTATTGTGCATCTGACCCAACTCATAGTATTTTCAGTCACCTTATGCTCCTGCAAAATGTAAATAATGAAAATGAAGATCCAAGAACTGATGCCTTTGAATTGTGGTACCAGTGAAGAATACTCAATACTCTATGCACTTCCAGAAGAACAAACAAACTTAAAAGAAGTACAGCCAGAATGCTTCTTAGAAGTGAGGAGGGAGAGACTTCATCTCATGTAGTTTGAATGTTATCCGAAGGGACTAGTCCTTGGAGAAGAACATCTTGCTTTATTAAGGGTTAAAAAAAATAGGAAAAAAAAAAAAAAACCCTTATCAAGATGGATTAACACATTGGCTGCAACAATGGGCTCAAACATTGTGAGGGTGATTGCACAGCACTGGGTAATGTTTAGTTCTATTGTACATTGGGTCACTATAAGTTACAAACAAGTTGATTGCACTTAACAATAACATATAACTCAGTGCCTGTAGCTAAGAACTTAATGATTTCTCTTTTTGCCCTGGTTACAATGGTTGTTGTTGTTAAGTGCCGTTGAGGCCCTGAAGAAACCTGTATAGGGTTTCCAAGGAGCAGCTGGTGGCTTTGGGTTTGATCAGCCAGCCTGTGATTTGCTTATCCTATAGCACCACACCAGGAGTCCAGGTTACAGTGGTAGTACCACTAAAACGTAATGATACATTCTGAGCTCCAAGCTGAACAAAGAAACAAAGGAATATAATTATAGGATATATGAGACGATACAGTAATTCTACATTAAACCACAAACCAGAAGCACCAAATCTCCAAAGTCTTAAGCAACAACAAAAAACATACTTTCAGAATCTAAAACCGCATCTTTCTTCTTCAATTATTCTTTGCCTGTGGGCATGGAATCTAAAGGAGTTTTAAAATTATCCTCTTACAAGATGGCAAATTGGTGCTGTCAGCCAAGCTACTAGATTGTCTGTTTCTCTCCAAGAAAAATAATTTAAGTAATTATTTAGGAAAAAGCACAGAATTGCATCATGTTTTACATTTGATCTCTTTGACAGTACATGGAAACATGGATGTTTTCCTACAAAGTGTCTGGTAACTTGAAATAGAGGGGAACAATGACAACTACCTACCCCCCTTCAGACTCTTGCCAGTTTGACCCAGGGGGAACATTCCTTCTTAACCACAGATTTGGCTTTCATTTTAACTTTTGTGTGAGTAAGAATCTCTGAGGTTAAGCATTTCATCCCATTTAGCTAATTACCCATATAGTACTCTGGGTTTTAGATTGCTATACAAATACCTACTAGGAGGGGGAAACATTTCAAATTAAAGTTTTTCTTTTTTTTACCTTTTAATAACAAAGGAAAACACTTCTGTGTTTGTGTTTAACCAAACATAACCTTGGGGAACATTCATTAGTCATGCTGCTAGTGTTTCTAGTCTGTCCCAGTAAAAGGTTCCCAGTACTCTTTGTTATTTCAGTTACTCACCATCATGCTCACCTTTGTGCTCCCCATTTTGGAGGCCCCTGTGTTCTCCTAATATGCTGTACTTTCTGATGCCTCCTGCCTTTGCTGTACCATCTGCTGTGCTTCAAGCTTCATCTCCTTAAAAAAAAGAAAGAAAGAAGCAGCAAACAATCAAATCAGCTGCCAACGAGTCGGTTTTGATTTATGGTGACCCCCCCCCATGTGTTAGAGAGTAGAACTACACTCCATAAGGTTTTCAGTGGGTTTGCTCTATTCTAAAGTAGATCACCAGGCATTTCTTCTTGGTCACCTCTGTTTGATTCAAACCATCAACAGCTTAGTTAGTAGACAAATGCTTAACTGTTTGCACCACCCAAAGACTTCTCATCTCCTTTAAGAACCTGTTAAATCTCTCTTTAATAACATCTTTTCCTTCCAGTAAAAGCATACTTTTACTTACTTAAATAATGCTGCTTTCTCCAAGTTCCAGAGCACCTGGGATTAATACACACAGCCTTTAAATTACATTATAATTACTTGCACACTTGTCTTTCTTTTACTAGGAGTGTTGGAATTGCTTTAGTCTCTTTGTGTATGCCCAGTGCTTAGAACAGGACCTGAGGCATAGTACAGACTCAGTAATGTTTCTTGAAGGAATGAATAAAGGAACATGACAACATGTAAATGTCAAAGAACAAAAACATGTTGCTCTTATATTAATACATTGTTAAAAGGTGGGTATTGAACAATGTCCAATTAGGTTTAAAAAAAAATTGATTTAGAGGCATTCAAAATAAGGTACACATAGAGACTGCTGTCAGAATCAGATACAGCTAGAACCAGTGTCTTAAATATCAGGGTAACCTGTTTCAGTAGCAAAAACAGTAGTATGGTTGCTGTTGAGGTTT